TTAATCCCCGCCAGGCGAGGCGGCGGGAGCACCCCGCTGCCGGTGGTCGACGCGGGCAGCGGGGCGGCCGCGCCAGGCGGGCCTTGCTGAAGACGTGCCTGCCTGGGCGACTGCGCGGCCGTACGCGGCGCCCCTTACCCTCAGCCGGCCGGTCTGTTGGTCAGACAGCCCGCGAGGCTCAGGAACCTGAAGACAGTATTCTGCGGACAGCCAGGCGGATTTTGCTTTTTTTCCCCCCCTCCAAGTATTCACAGCATCTGCGTTTCTATGTTCTGGTTGCCTTTTATAGTCTTTCCAACTCTTTGTGTTGGGCTGGTAATGCTTCTGCTTACTTCAGTGCTTGCTTTTCTTTCCTCAGCTGTTAGATGCCTTCCAAGGACAATTTCCTCAGCTTTTCTTATCAACCTCTGTTCTGCTTAGGGAATCTTAATCACACAAGGGCAGCTAAGGACCTCTAGGCTTTGTCTCTGTCCCAACCTTACCTCTAACCCTAACGCTCAAAGTTTGGCTGAGCATCAGAGAAAGACCCCCCCATCCAGTGCTCCAGAGGAAGAAGGTGTCAGAGGAGAATTGTTTCGGTGTGCTGTACCTTCTTCTGGAAACCCTTTTGCAGCCCCACTTGCGCTGGTCCTTCAGGCTTTGTCTCTGTCCTAAGGTGAAACCTTATCCTAAACTTCAGCTTTGGTGGTTCCATAGACACATGGCACAGTGGAAAATACTGTCATGGGATAATTATTTTGCAGCACGTCCCTTCACTTGGAGGCCCCTTTTCAGTACCAGGCCAGCTGCAGCTTTTCACTTTGTCTCTCTCCAAACCCTAACCCTAACCCTAACCCTAGTAAGGCAAGGATACCCAAGCAACTCCTAGGAGAAAACATTGTCACAGGACTATAGTGTTTGCACTGCTACAGTTCCCTTGGAGGCCCCTTTTCCATGGCAGTCCAGCTGCAGCTCTGTGCTTTGTCTTTCTTCAAACCCTAACCCTACACGAAAGCCTAAGCTAGTGTGGGCTGAGCCTCGACAAGGCCGCTCATGCAAGTTCCAGCAACAAACATTGTCACAACAATCATTGTCACAGGGCTATTGTTTTTGCAGTGCTACACTTCCCTTGGAGGCCCCTTTTCAGTGGCAGTCCAGCAGCAGCACTATGCTTTGTCTCTCTCCTAACGTGAACTTTACCCTAACCTTAACCCTAAATCTAACTGAAAGGCTAAGCCTAGTGCGGGGATGAGCCTAGACAAGGAGGCCCATGCAAGTCCCAGCAGCAAACGTTGTCACAGGACAATTGTTTTTGCAGCCCAGACTTCCCTGGGCAGCCCCTTCTCAGCCCCCTTGCACTGGTCCTCTAGGCTTTGTCTCCATCTCAACCCTGGCTCTAACCTTTCCCCTAACTCGTACCATAACCCTAAGCACCAGTTTGGCTTTGGCTGATCATCAGCCCAGAGCCCCCATCTATGGTCCTAGAGCAAGAAAGCGTCAGGAGAATTTTTTGGGCATCCTATGCCTTGTTTCAGGACCCCCTTTGCAGCCCTGCTCCCACTGGAGCTAAAAGCTTTGTCTCTCTCTCTCTACCCTAACTCCTATCTTCTTTCTGCAGTTCCTAGGTTTTATCCTACTTCTTTTTCAATTCATTTCTCTGTGTTATTTGCTACAGTGACCAGAAGCAAGACAGCTAGTATTGACAAATACATTGTCATGCTTACCTGTTGAAATTGCCTTTTCAGTTAATATAACAAGGTCAGGTTGACAGTGTTTCTAAAAGTAAATCTGTGGTGTGTCCCCTGCTGTTCTTGGAGCTTCTGTAAATGTCCCTGAATGGAGGTGGCAGTGTTCCCCAGCAAATACCAACCTGATGGCAGAGACAGCAGCTAGGAGCTGTTTAGGACATGGGCTGCGATGGAAGCTTGCCTCAGGATTTCCCTCACAGGTGCTGCTTGCTAAGAACATCTGCACCTGAACCTGAGCTACCCTTATGTAGGCTGTCTCGGGCTGCCTGCACAGTGAACACATGCACAGAGTCAGTGTTTCAGGCTGCCTGCAAATTCGGGAAGGCAGCACACATCTCTTTACAGAACCGTGTTCCTTGTGCTGGTGAAGACCAGAGACTCGCTTTGTCAATGAAGTATTTGATGCTGCAAAATCTGAATGTCAGGTGGCCTAAAGATATTTCAGGTGAACGGAGTGTTTGACATCAATGTATTGTAATCTGTCGTGGAAAGGATGTGGGGTTGAATTAACGACTAAAGATGGGGAGAGGTCATCTTTTCATGGAACAGCTTCCTTCTCCACTACAGAGGTCTTGGCATTGCAGAGCTAACTGATAGCAGCACCTCTGTCAAGAATAATACCTGCTCTGCTGTCTCGTATCGATGTCCTTTATGTGCTAGTTGGACCAAACGTGATCTGGGTCCTGTATGCTCAGTGATTTCTAATGTGCACGTTGCCCACAGCCTGTCACAAAGTATGGATCTGTGCTCTGCTGTCTGAGTCTTATTTACAGAAATAAAGTTCTCATTTTTGTGGAGGTAAATAAAGCCTTTCTGATATGACCTAAATGGGGTAGGCACGATGACATCTCCAAACATGTCATAAAGATAATACAGAGAAGTATTGGCTGCCTTGTTCCTCTTCCTGGAGCATTAACTTTTGGAATCTCACATGAAAATGTCACTGCCAACACCATTAACTGCTCCATTACTGATCTGCAGCCTGTCCTGCGTTCTGTACCACCCTGCTACACTGCGAGCAGTACGGGAACCAGCTAACTTAAAGTTAGCCTGGGTGTCTGTGTAAGCTGCACACACAGTCTGTCCTGCTAAGATGATTATGCCACAACCCCAAATCACTGTTCCAGGTATAAAAACCATCTGCACCTACCCATGTGCCAAAATCTCCCACCTTTTCTTAGTAGTGTTTTATAACAATAGAGCTTTTCAATACTAAACTCTCCAGTATGCTGCAAATTTAAACTGCTGAACACAACATAATAAATTAAAATGAATACCAAATTCCATATGTGGGGGAGGCAGCAGTGAGTTCAGTGTCAAACGCCACGTTCAGCACAATCCCCACTCCTTACTTCAGCTGAGACTGCTGCAGAGCGTCCTGCCTGCTGTCCTGGGGCCTAGCAATTCGCAAAGAGCACAGTCAGCGAGATTTCCCAGGCAAGGTCAGCGGTGGTAATAGCCCTTGTAGCAGCCGTGCTCTTGCAATTGTGAAGGGCAGAAGCAAGGCAAGATTTGTGAGGAGAGAAATAACGTGTTTCATTAGACCGGTTGATAAGGCTGGAAAATGTTTCAGGCACAAGATACTTTTCTCAAATCTCTAAAATAGCACTTGATTTTTTTTCCAGTTATATCAGTTAGCCTAATAAAAGGTGTCATCTCTCCCCATACACCTTCCATTGCAAACAGCATCTGGGCACTGGTAGGAATAAAGTTCCTGCTAGACAGACAAAGTTGGTGTCTGGGTTTGTCCTGAACTGCCTGAGTGCCGCACAGGGTGATGCAGAGCAGCCCTTTGAGCGTTTCTCTGGATATGTGCTGAACGCCAGGTCTCGCTCCTGCAGATTGCAGCGGAGTATCAGACATCCATCCTTCCAGCCTGATCTGAGCCCTCGCAGTCCCAAGGGACTTTAGCCTCCTCGCCTCATCGACCTCTCCGCTCTGCCTGCCTGCAAAAGCTGCCATGGGGAAAGGTGTTTGCCTGGTGAAGATGCCCGAATACCTCAACACACAGGGGCATGAGAGCAGATTGACACAGGCCTGCCGACTCCTGCTGTGTAAACAGCAGGACTGGTTACTCTGCAGAGGAGCTGGTATCAAGGCAGGGAAAGCCTTGATGCACTGGAAATTACTGACTGGTGTTCCCTTGTTCCCTCTAGCTCAGCCAGCTTTGATCCTGCATCCTAGAAGTGCAGCTAAAGCTTATTCATCGCAAGCTTCCTCTTCTGTATTCCTTACTATCCACTTCCTCCCAGCTCCAGGCTCAAACTGATCTCAACAGTTATTCTATAAGTGGTATTAAATGAATAAGGAAAGTGAAACAAACATTAGGCTATGTATGAGATGCTGGAGAGAGCCTAGCGGTCCCAACGGCTTGTTACACTCAAGCCACGGCTGTGGCTTCAGCCTCACAGGTTTGTCTTGAATTTGAAAGAAATTGCCTCTCCTGCCAATAATGTTACAAGACAGCCCCTTTGAGGTAAACAGAGCCAGATATAGATGGTATTTTTTCCCTGCCACTTGCCAGTGTTGTTCAAAACATCTTCCCTAAATGAAACACAGAAATTAGAAATGGGGGGAAAAACCCTCTGAATTCCACCTTGTCTGTTCATTCAGCAAATAAGAGATTGCTTTGTCCCACACAAGTTTGAAATATCCCAATCAATAAAGTATTCATTGCTTCTCTTGGGAGATTGTTCTCCAGACTTGTAATGTATGTATGGCACGTCTATATAGGAAAATTGACCAGAATAGCTATCTCAGCTCTGCCAATATAACTCCCTGGTGTTGACACTGTATTCCAAAATAAAAGTGATTTATTCTCAGATAATCACATAGTTCTATGATAGTTGTGCTGGTCAGTCTCCCTGGATAGAGTTTGTCTACAGCATGGCAATGGTTTTGACAAGTGCTTTGAATAAAAGCTTGCCTAAGTGGAAATCCTGGCCATCAGAGTCACTCTGCCACAGCTGTGCCTGCCTACCTGCCTCACATGGATGCTCTGCTTAGGGATAAAGGTGCTTTAAAGTTGTAGGCGATTTAGATATTCCGGAGTAAAGGTGATAGTGAATAGGCTAACAGGGGCCTTTGTGACAATGTAGCCTGGCCTCCTGAACAACACCGACCTTGGACTTACCTGAATTAATTCCTGCTTGTTTTAAAGCTGAGCTTTTAAGGAAAAAAATCTTGATTAAAAACATTCCCAGGATACAGAATTCAGTAGGACATTAGCAATATTATTCCACTGTCTGGTTGCTTTCCCACTAAATAATATGCGCTCTTTTTTCATGTTTGAAGTTGTCTAGCTCGAGGTTTCAACCTCTGGATCTTGTTACAACTTTGCTGACTTATCACTCATGCAAGCACTTACAGACATATCAAATTACCTTTTAACTTACCTTTGGTAAGTTAAATATATTTAACTTGCCTATAGAACATATTTATTATGCTATAGCAATAGCACTTGACTTCCTCATGTGGAAGGGAACTAGGTATTTTTCTGCCCTGCCCTGGTTGTATAGTCATGCAATAACAAATATAACAAAGGATCAGCACAGGATCATTTCTGGTCACTCTTTTGGGGAGAGCTGGTTCATGTTCCTTGAGTGCTTGCAAAATGAACAGTTATCGCTAGTGTAGGTCTCAAACAGGAAGATGAGCAGCTTTCATGGGTTCCTGATGTTGGGAAATCTGACTGTCCCTGTCGTGTCCTTGCTGCCGTGTCCAGAGAGGTACTCGCACTCTGCCCACCTGCGGCGTTCCCTCCCGAGACGGCAGGGGCTGGCACGCACGCGGCTTCCTGTGAACGCCTGCAACTCATTTAATCTTTTCCTGTGTTAACAAAAAACCTTTACAAATATGACAGGTGTTATTCCCCTGAGGAGAACTCTTCCCTTCCGCCGTAAATTAAGTGACCTGCGTAAAAGGAAGCAAATCATCAACAAAGAGCTGGTATCTAGCTGATAAAATAGCAATACACTTTTGGGCAGTGGTCAAATCCCATGGGGATTTGTCTCCCCATGGGAGACAAATATAAACTCCATTTCCAAGCCGCACAAGAGATGGTATCTTGAAAGTGCTGACCAACTTATTAGTGTGGGAATAGGTCTGTTTTAAGTCATGTCAAATAGCAAGCAAAGTAGCAGAAAACATCACGAGTCCTAGGCATTTCTGGGTCTTCAGGAAGAAAACCCTTTGGGGGTAAAAAATAGGCCATATTCCACTACCTCTGTCCTTCTGAGAGGGAAATGGGAAGAAACCAGCTCACCGGTGAGGTAACTCCTGTATGCTTAAGGATTTATTATTCCTCGTGTATATGGGTATCTAATTTCCAGTTAATACAAACATCCCTGATGCAGACATTTGGGCAGTGATGCAGAGTGTCGAGTACCTTGGCAGATGGCTAATTTGCAGAGTAAGGGTCTTACAAGTCAAAGCATCTGTCTGTCTATATGTATAGACATCTATATGTCTGTATATATGTATATACATACGTATATGTGTGTCTATGTATGCCTGTACATACGCATATGAGTGAGTATGTATGTATACACAGAGTCAGTGTGAACCTGTAATGAAATCCAAGCGGAGACTAAAAACCCAGGAGGGTTCACCCAGTCACAGGTGTATTACTTTACTAAATCTACCGGTGATTCATCTATATTGCTGTGTATGTCAGCCTAGAGGCGGCAAGTCTGGAATTAGCTTGAGGCTTTAAGGTTTCATCTTTCAACAGCAGATGTTCCCTGGTAATAACAGGCCTCAGTAATCACACCACTATTTTGCATTTGTTGATAGTACAGGGGAAGGAGGCCAATGCAAACTCCAAGCCTGCTTCTGATCAGAACAGGCAGATCAGGTATCTGCGAGGCAGTAATTATGAATCAGGGTGAGAGAATATAGAACTCTCACAGTATCTTTCTAAAACAATACCTGCTTCTAATGCCAACGTTTGCCATTACGATACAACATCTTTCGAGAACCTCCTTGGTTCATAGGAGAAATGGGTGATGGCAGGTAATGATACAGTCAGCTGTCCATTGTGCAGGATAATAGCTGTCTCTGTATTCGTATAGCAGAAAGACATGGATCATCTGGGAACTCCAATGTCCTCATGTCAATGCAAAAGGGAAACAGATTTGGTCCAGTTGGGTTCATTAGTTACAGCTGTGTACTAGTCTTGTTGACCCAAGTAGCTGCTGCAAAGACATGTGCCTGCACCACACTGCCCAGCTCCAGGAGCTCTGTCACACAGCCAAAGAGTGTTTGGATCCAGCTGCGCCCAGGTCAGATGTCTTGCTGGACTCCAGGGCAGTGGGGACCTCATGCAGAATCAGCTGGGGCTCAGCCCAAAAGGGGCTAACTCTCTACTAGGTCCAAATCGGCTCCATAAAAGAGCTCCTGCAGCATCTGCGCACTTCAGCCTCCCTATTTCTGGGGTCAGGACCCTGGAGTAGCAACAACACTAATTCGTCTCTGTATGAAAGCAGCGGGGTCCAACGGGACCTCTACATGGGGCTCTGCGCCAGGCTAAGGCAGCTAATGGTTTCCAGACCTGAGCTGGTCCTGGAGTGGTGCCCCTCAGCTAATGCTACCATATCTCAGACTATCTCTGTATCTGGGACATGCTTAATCCCCAGCCTGGATAACTGGAAGATGAGTGTATGAGAAATAGTAACCGCAGGTTTCCCCGGCTTCCTTGGTCTTTGCAAATTCCTGACCTCTGTGCCGTTAGCTGAGCAGTCTCTTCACAGGAGCCCCTGCTGAGCTGCCTCAGCAGGACAAACCACTACAGCCCCACTTCATTCCTAGGAGAAGTTTCTCCCCTTCTCCTCCAAACTTTGGTCTCCTCAGGACTCCTGCCTAGATGAAATTGCAGCGATCTGCTTTGACCCTGCACAGAGACCAGAGGTGGGGGGAATGGGAAAGTTTCTTCAGTCCCCAAATTAATGCATCACCATTTGGCAAATCTCTAAGTCTAGATCCTTCACCTACCTAGCTCCCCCAGTGTAGAAGTTAAGCTCTGCCTGAAATACTAACATCTTAAACCACCGAACAATTTTTGCTAGAGGTTGTGGAAAGCGTGGCTTGGCTCATAAAGTGCAGTTGCAGGAAAAGTGACAGTAGAGGGCAGGGCAGACACACAGTTGGAGCCTTCCCGGGCAGGGCTGGAAAGATTGGGGCTGGACTGGGCAGGACTTGGTCAGGGCTGGAGGGGAGCCCCAGACCTGCCATCCTGCATTGCCTGTCCCCTTGCAGCCGTGGGAGGCGAGAGCGGGTGCACGCGTGCAGCGAAGGCCACCAGCTCCGCAGCTCCTTTCCTGCAGGCTGGGGGGATGCCAACGCATGAGGTGCATCTCTAGCAGCCAGCTCTGGACTTCTCTGCTAATTACTTGGCCTCTGTCATCTTCTCAGCCTTATCCCTCCAAGAATGGTGTAAAATCAGACCCCAAGAGTCCTGGTATCTGCTTAGAAATCATAACATCATAAAAAGCAACAAGGGTTTTATGTATACTTGTTGGTTCCTGAGCGTTTACTATGCGCTCCTCCGGCACCGTCTGCTCTGCACCTCATCCCTGTGGGCTGCAGCAGCCTCCCCCTCCTCACTGCGCCAGGGAGGCAGAGCTGGAGAGACCCAGGCTGCCCAGGAGCCGAATGTCTACGTGGCAGAAATGACTCAACAAGGCAGGGGGAGATTGGTAGCCAGCAGCAGAAAGGTAAGAAGTTAGTTAGCCACGAGGAAGCTGTTATTTAGCCTTCCTGGCTTTGAGGAAAGGCAGATAACCTTGGAGGAAGGTACCCCTTTGCACATACCAGGATGGGTCCAAGATTAACAGGGAATGCTGGGCTGCTCATTCGTTGCTCTTTTAAAGGCCAGGAAGCGGAAACCTGAAGATTACTTGGAAATGAATGAACAGATACTGCCACCCTTCCCACTATTGCTCTGAAAACCTTTCTTTTTTCCTCACTTAGCCATGCTAAGATCCTCACCTAATTTCAGGTCTCTGAAAGCTGGGACTCAGTCAAAACACAGCACCGTGGCGTCAGCACGGGGCCACGCAGCCCCTGCCCCTCACTGGCAGATGCGTGCCGAGGGCTACTGACGAGCTCCCCATCACCTGCAGCCTGCTGCCCACCCGTCCCCCTCTGCTACTTGGTGAATTTGCTCAGTGACTCAGAGCATTTCAAATGCTTGTTTTCTACTCTGTTGATCACAGCACAATAAATTGGCGAGTGCACTTCTGCAAGCCGCGCCATCTCCCTTCAACCAGGCCAGCGCAGGGCAGGCAGCGCCGGGGTCTGCCAGACCAGAGCGGTGAGAGGAAGCTGCCGGGAAAGTCACTGCTTGCAGCAGCTCCGGAGCAGCCCGACTGCAGCATCACTGTGCTCCCTGCTTGGGCTGGGGAACGGCCCTGCTGCCTCAGTCTCCGAGCGTCTGCAAAACTCTCAGCAGCTGGCTGTGACTAACACCAAGCTGGCAGTGACTTATTAGTATTCCCACCACAGAGAAAAGAGGTGAAGCGAGCTGCTGCTGCCCTGCTTGGGCAAAGACTAGCGGGCTGCACCGTGCAGCCCCTGCTGAGCCGGCCGCGCTGCTGCGACGCCTGGATCAAGCACACTAGCAGTGGCCCAGCTCCCCGAGAGCACAGCGGGCAGGTAGCAGGCTGGTGATTTATGAGACAGGCCCTTGGAAACTCTCCGAAGCCAGTGCTTAAGTGCTTCTGAATGGCAGCATTAATTACTATTAAAAACACACATTTATATCTCTCTCACCTGCTTTAAATCCTGTGAAATTAGATTCCCTACCCATCCCCTCCAGCCTTGGTGGCAGCTCGGGGTGTTTTATGGGCCTATAAAGCCCTGCAGTACCTGCTGTCTACACGGGCTCTTATTTACGAGGGTTTTTAACAGGCTTTCTGGCTGCACTATCTGAGCCCCCTGATTATTTCACTTCTGTTTCCCTTGAAGGGAATAATCCCCTTAGCCGCTATTCCTTATAGTTTCTTCTTGCAGGCCGTGGTTGATGCAGAAAGTTATCTGCTGCGGCAGACAAGGTGGGGAAGGGGAGGAAAGCTATATCAGGGGCCCTGGGTGCCGAAGGGAACCCTTGCTGCCTCTTTTCCCTGGGTGCTTCTGGGGGTGGGGAAGGCCACAGCAGCGGAGAGCTTCCCACAATCACAGCGCCCTCCATGCTCCTGGCAGGGGGAACTGTGCTTGAGAATGGGCAGTGGGACACAGACCCGAGCAAAGTCACTTCACAATTTAGTTTTGGGTGCTCAGAGGAAGACACTTTGCTGATAGTTTTGAGCCCTGCCATTTCTGCGGAAGCTGGGGAAGTACCTAGCTACTCCAGCGTGGGAGTCAGCAGCAGTACACAGCAGTCAGGAGCTTATGTAGAAAGTAGGTGCACATGACAATTTGGCCTAGCCTCTGTGATTTTTTGTAGAAAATGGATTTAGCGAGACAAGCACCTTGTGGGAGTATTGTGAATGTCCTCATCTGCTTGCTCTTTACAGCAGACCCATGCCAGATATCACCAGAACTCAGCCAGGCACCTCCCAGCACTGGAAGATGAGCAGCACTAAAATCTTAGTTTACTGACAATGGAGATAACTTTGCACGTATGCAAATTGCCTTCCTTTCCAGGGCTCTCCCGTAGGATTTCCCTTTAACTGGCTCTGCCCTCAAAACGCTTCTAGGTTCTCAGACCTACTGGAGGCCGGATGCTTCTCTGGGGAATTGGCCAAATTTGTGCACTCGTGTCAGCCTGCCAGGGAGAAATTGATAGATATCTCTGCCTCCTGACTCCCAGACTGAGCGTGTTAATTTATAGATTGGATCTGTCGTTCCTGATAAACGATATCTTACTTCCCTAATGCCGCCTTCAAATTGAGTTTTTAATGCTAGGTCAGATGGGGAAACCAAAGGGTGACTCTGCTTTCTCTTTGCTTTGGCTTCACCCTCTGCAGTCGAGCTGAAGTCAGCTTTTCACACTGGAAACACACCCCAGAGCTGTGCTGGCATCCCCCTGCCTTGGCATCCAAGTAGGCAGAGCAGCCACCCCAAAAGGGGCTCTGAAACCTTCCTCTTTCCCCCAGGTCTCACAGTGGGGGGGTAGGGGGCACAAACCGCCCCCGTTCTGCCTCACCTCTCTCCTGAAGAAGACAAAGGGTTCAAAGCTGCTGCAGGGCCTGCCCTGGCCTTCCTGAGAAGCAGGGTATCACCCCTGCCCCTCGGCTCTCCTGCACGGGGGGCGCACGGCTCTGAGCTGAGGCAGGAGACGCTAATGCGCCCAGCCTTTGAGAACAGCAGAGTGGTTGCATTTTGCCCCCCCCCTTCCTCCTTGGCAGTGCAAAAGCAAAGCAAGCCACAGCAGCCTCACAAGACACGAGGTGTCAGGACAGGTAGCCAGAGCAATGGCCCAGCTCAGATAAGGGTTTATTGCTCCCCTGCAAGCCACCTCCCCAGCATCCTGGGCAGCTCTCCAGCTAAGGTTCCCCCCTGGCCTGCCTCTCAACATCCTCCTCCTCCATCCTGAGTACCCACACTTTCCCCTTCTCCCAAAGCACATCAAGTGATACTCAGGAAGAGGGTCAGGGACATTGAGAGCAATCTTTGGGGCAGCTGGAAATGCAGGTCCTCTCCACTCGCACCAAGCAGCACATGCAGGAAGCACTTGACAGGGCATCCGAACAGCCGAAACAGCAGTTCCCAGGAGCTTACCGCACAGTGGGGCCCAGCTCTTTAACATTTAGCTGGTGTAACTGGCTGGGCAACAGAGCTCAGAGCTGCCTAACGGGGATTGATGGCTTTGTGTTTCTTAAGCCAACAGTGTTCAATTGTAGCTCCCAGTGGAAGTGCTGGCGTTAAGAAGCAGTGCGGGGTGGAGCGTGGGCAGTCTCTCAGGCAGGGAAAAGGCATTTCCCAAAGAGCCTGCTGAGGAGGATTGTGCAGGATT